CGAAAAATCGAGGATAGTTTCGTGTGACATATGCCAAGTCTGGGCTATTTTGGTCTCAATGTCTCCGTCCTTCCCTCGTTATAAGGAAGGCACAGGCGGGCGCGGGCAAATCGAGCCTGGGCCTCCTGTGGTCCGATGACGTTGAGTTTGGGTCGGACATATGTCCGATGACCTTCAGTTCAGTTTTGACTTGGAAATAAGTCTGAATGACATAAATGAATATCAGCACAATGTATTAATTCTGTACGGTAACTGTTGTGAAGATATTAAATAATTTGTTTCTTTCATACTTATTTTCAAGCCAAAATTAACTTGCTTTCCAGAACAGCAGTTTTAAAAAACTTTGACAACTTAAGCCTGTTTTCCACTTCCCCATTTCGCTCGCCATCCCGCGCTCGACTACGTTAAAACAATATCTCCAGATCACCTTCCATACAATGGTACTGTGATTTTCCATTTAACGTACAAGCCTCTAGTCCTGGGCTAGGGTACATTTTGATTTACGATGGACAAAGCTACATTTCGGTCGGACACCAATTCACTCGGGTCGGACAAACAATAAATCTCAGTTTCACTTAGGTCGGACAGAATGTCCGGTGGTTTCCTCTCTACGTCGGACAATTTCACGAATGGGTCGGGCAATGTCCGTGACCGACCGATATTTTAAGGTCTGACCACGTGACCGCTCTTTCTACTGCCATTCATTGAAACGGCTCGATTTTATGACGAAGATATAACATATCTTCTCTTTCTACCAACTTTATGTTTAATAAATTAGAATTTTAGACAGGCTCTGATTGATAAAACTGTTAAACCTAGTATCTCTTTTTCGTTATTCTAGCAAAGTAATGAAATATGGGCTGGATTTTAAATCTTTTTGCAAACTACAGTATAAATAAATTTGATGTTTTTAATTACAGTTTATATGATTCTATTTTTTCAAGGAATCCGAATCGTAATGGACGGTAACGAAGTCGTTGGAATGGAACAAAACGAGAATGCTTTGGGAAAGGAGAATATGCATGTCTTACAGCAGCTTTAAAGTAGAAAACTTTAACTAATGAGTAGTACATATATGCTGCAATCCCTCCTCGCTCTTTTTTAATGAAACGAGAAATATTCCACGAAGTACTCTGAATTAGAATACCGCTGGCTAAAGTTATCGTAGTTATTAGCAATAGTCTGTGATGTTTTTCTTTTAGGGTACAGACCGAAATGGATCTTAGCACAATTAGCGACGAGCTTTTTCCAAGTAGTTTTCATTCCTTCTATTAACCTGGTTATTTCTCCACTTAACATACTGTAGTCTGGTTAATTGATCTGGGACGCCCTTATTAAACAATTATTGGATGAGGCTGAGCATGATATCAGGAATTATTCAGACCGAAGTCAGTGTTATCCGTGAAGCGAAGAGGAGGCGGATGACATTGACCGAGGTTTGAATAATTCTTGATGTCATGCGAAAGCCGAATTCAATAATTGTTTTATTATACATTTAAAGACATCAGAAACGTATAAAAAGGTTAAATGACGCTCCCAGATGTACTGAAAAAGAAATAACGGTTTGAATGCCAGAGAACATTAATAATTCAAAACACAAAGAAATAACGAAGTTTATTAATGTTTTAAGTATATTACAACAATACTGAAATAAAGTAGAAAACGAACATTTCTTTTAGTATTTTCAACTTCACTAAAATTTCACACAACCATTAATTAAAACAAACTTTTGTGGCTTTCTTAGTACTGTCACTGTCTCTATTTGCTAATAATTTTGAATAGGTCGTTTTCATCCAACGAAGCAAATCTACTGTGAGCCATTTTGTTTATTTTATTTTATTTTCGCACGCTTTTGGGTTTGAATTGTTGGCCGCTCCGGGGCTTCGGCACGACAGCGTCCAATAATTTTTTTGGATGCAAGTTCGATCCAAAAAAAAAAAATGTTATCGGACGCTGAGCACGTCAGCAGCTGAAATTACGTAATAAGTACCGAATATTGAGAATTATTCGGTGCTCTCTGACCAATCAGAAACGAGAATACATACTAAATGTATAATAATAAATATAATCACATTCCTGGTTACAATAACCAGACTATGATAGGAAGTAGGATAAAACCCCCGGGAAATTTAGCCAAGAATATTAAGTTAACCAAACAGGTTCCCAGATCACTAGCAAAATTTTAACAAGGTGTTTTAGAGTGTATCACAATATAAAAATGGACAATACACTTCATTATTTTGTTTCACTATTAATAGAAATACATTTTTTCAAAATAAACTATTATGGTATAAATTATATTTTATTATTTGGGTGCAGTAGTAAGTTTGGGATACCATGTTCAAATTGAAACAACTATTCTTTATAGTTAATTCATTATACAGCTAGATTACATGCTAGCTGTGGAATTAAGATTCTGTTATATAATACATCACGTAGCATCGATGCAACAACTTACTGAAGACAAATTTAAATAATTTAAACAATTTTATGACAAACAGGTCACAACGAAATACAGATATTGTGGTTTGACAATAGCCTACGGTCCAAATGGTGACAAAAAAACAATATGGCGCCGCCTTCGGCAATGTTAGCAGGTTTAAAGGGAAAAATCTTTTAAAATATAAATAATAAATATTAGAGAAAACAGGCAAGAAATATTTGAGAAACATCTTAAGGTATACTTATGAAAGAAAAAAGGAAAGAATTATGCAAATGGGAGAAGTGGCCATTATTTCGTCTTTTTCATCTTTTAAACAAATAATAAAACAATTATTGAATTCGCAAGATACGAAGAATTATCAAGCCCTTAGTCTTGTATTATCAACCTCAATATCTAGGGTTGATAATTATCTGCTCAGCCTTATTCAATAATTGTTATATATCACATTTAATGCAGTTCCATGTCCCATGCTTACAAAGTCCTATTGAACACAGTTTTTTGTGATGCTGCCATTCTAATATTCTCAAATAGGTAATTCTAATATTATATGGCTTTATAGGTAATTATAATTCTGGCTTTATGTTAGTTTTATGGCTTTATGTTCACTGTAACAATTATAACTAGTCATGTAAACTGTCCAAAATTGTGAATTAGGCATAGCAAACAAACGTTAGCGAAATTTGTCCGTGTAACAGACACATTCCAATTTAATCACTTCCAAAATTTTACCGCGATCAATTTATAGCGTTTAACCTCAAAACTTTGAGGAAATCAGTTTTCGTGAATGAGAAAGGACCATAAAATTGAAAGATCTTACTTTTAGTAGTCGTACAATAAGCTCATAGCTTCGGCAGCTTTACATCTGACATTGGCTGAAGAATCTTTTAATAACGTGATGAGAGCTGCAAGAATATTATTTTATAAATCAGTAAATATAGTTTATAATGTGCTAAAACGCGAAGATCACTAACCATTTTATAAGGGGGAGGGATTGGGTGGTTATGTTAAATGAGGGTTTGCAATGATCGATGACTAGATAAATGAAGACAATGGCGGGCATATTGGTGAAACGACACCATATCTACCATCTATTATGGTGAGAAGAGATGGTTCCTTTTCTGGGAAAAGACAATCAGGTAGATAAAAATCAGAGGCCCCTTTTGTCTTCCGCAGGGCGTATAATGTAGTTCCAGTGAGAACAGTGACAATAATTATATAGGCAACTACCGGATATATAAGCTATTCTGCAATTTGATTGGCTCTCCACTAGCAGGATATCTGCTCATATCCTGCCAGTAGGGAAAACAATATGGCGGCTAAAAATTACCCAAGTTTTCTGAACGAGAAAACAGCAAGTTATTCTACTTTAATACACTCTAAAAACACTCTGGTTAAATTTGGGTTAATTCAACCAGTACGGGGTTAAAAATCCACCTACACAAGTCTGGTTAAAAAAAATTAACCATTTTCCTGGTTAAAAGTCCAAAAAAGTGTACCAAATTTTTGTTGAATTGATAATTTTTAACCAGGAAATGGATTAAATTTAACCAGAATGTGTTGGGTGGATTATTAACCCAATTCCTGGTTGAATTTAACCAGAGTGTTTTTAGAGTGTAGTATTAAGAGGAACAAAGACATAATGAAAATACCACAAGCAATTGTTTACAGGTTAGTAAATAAAGTTTTAATTAAAATAAACTAGTTTAGTTTAAAAAAAATTTAAATGATGCCGAAAGAGTGAAAATATAAACATGAACAGAATACAATTTTTGGGAAGAAATTAAACTGAACTACAAACAAAGTCAATTTATAGATATAAAATCAATAAGTACTTGTTTTGGCTAAAAAGCATTAAATATATAAAAAAATTCGAGTTTTCAGCAATGTTTGTTAAGTATTATAAAAAATAGCAGCAGCGGTTTATCATGTTTAGGGCAATTTGGGTGATTGTATAACTGTCAAAATATTGCCATACAGATGAGCCTGCATGTCGATTCAGTAGTTGTCTATAGAATACAACTCACTCATACAGTATATAACTCGGATCGACTCGAGTTCGCAGAATAACTGTTAATTAGTCTAAATCCGAATAAAAGCCACTAGGGTACTCAAAGTAGCTTGTTTCGTCATTCCTGTAAACACTCAAGGGTATATTTTAACGAAGATATATCAAAGCAACGACGAACACACTAGCCAATTACAAACTTCAACAAGCCCATCTTCCCTTGGGGTAAAAATCGGCTGCTTTACATTAGAAAATTCATGCAATGCAAAAAGGAACAAATTTAAGACTCACCTCCACACACATATTCTTTTGAAATTGTTAATCGCTTATTTTCAGGAAGGTTTCCAAGAAGAAATCCTAAAGAAAACAAACTCGGACATTAAACACGAGGCAACAGCCGAGTGTTTTATATCTGATAGAGCACGGACTGCGAGTGTTCTAAATACCTTACTGTCGTTGCAATTGAAGTGTTCCTCAAATATTGATTCAATACATTACCTCGGGCTGACCAATTAATTACATCAAGTTCCCCGAGATATTCACATAGACTTCCTAGTATAATTGTAAACTTCCTGTTGAATAGTTTGAATGCACCAATCACCTTTGTTGTTTGTGCAACTAACCATAAATAGAAAGGAAGTGACCAGAAATGATCAAATACTTGGAATTGGCTCTTTCACAGGAAGTGTATGAATATCTCGAGGAACTTGATGAAACGAATTGGTCAACCTGAGGTAATGTATTGAATCAATATTTGAGGAACACTTCGATTGGAACGACAGTAAAAAACGAGCCATCTTATGAGTTCAATGGCGAGGTGATTTTGAAAATCAACATCGCCTACGCAGAGAAAATCAAAGCTATAAGGTTTACGTCCCCTATATACGGCCTGCATTATGGTGTAATACAGTCTGTGGAAATTCGTGGCATTGCTTGTCGACCCTCAGCTGCGCGACACAGATCTAGGTAGTTGATCCTGATTGGTCACGACTCAACTTAAAAGATTCTGATTGGCTTGCATGAGACGATGTTGTTGTTGTTGTTGTAGCATTTATTTCAACACGATTAAATTCGCAACATAGCTGATGTGGTCGTGCATTTACATAGTTATGTGCCTAACCCACCCTGTCAACTTTCCCTGTGGGAGGAAACACGGAGTGCCCGGAGAAAACCCACGACTTTCGGCAGAGCGTTGACTTACTCTTTTCACATTAGGACTGGGTTCCAGTCACAATGAGAAGTCCTCATTGAGATTCGAACCTGCGGCCTTAAGAGGTGAAAGGCAAGTGCGCTAACCACTTCGCCACCGAAGCCCACGAATATCAACGACCGTCGGACTTTGATTTTCCAAATCGAAATAGTATTTTCTTGATAATTGATGTTCATTATACATTTTACTTCAGTCTGTCTATGCTTCAAACTACTAAATTTCCGATGCAAAAGTGTTTCTAATGTATTGCAGATTAATATGATATCCAATTAAACAAATGAAATACAACGACGAGTGAAAACTGAGCGTGATGTGGTTTGTTTACGTCAGCCAGAAAAGTCAGAACTTTGTTGACGTTTGAACTCAGCTAATCAGAATCTACGGATTTAATCAATCAGAATCAATTGCCCAGATCCGGGAAGTGCAGCTTGGGTCGACAAGCAGTGTCACGAATTTTCAGACTGTATCACAGCATAATATAGTCTGTACACAAGATCCCGTTTACACGCGGTACCGGACGAATTTGGAACCGGACTAAAATTCGTCCGTTTCAGCTGGGTAAACACACGAGAACCATGGAACCGGACGAATTTGAGACCCCCTCCTGTTCCTGAAAATCCTATGTTTTTGTTTTTCGATATTGTTACATTTTGGCGGGAAAATGACGTTCCAACTTTGGCGCCAAACAAATAAACAGCAGCCAAGAACATGCCAGTAAATTTTTTGAAGAGATTGTCTCATAAGGATCTCAAAACTGCAAAAACATTGAACATACAACAAGGCAGTCCGAAGATATGGCAATTCGAATTTCGAAAAAAATATATTTTTAGTAACAAAATGGCGGATTTTTCAGATTTTTAAGCACCATATCTCTGCATTGCTTTGGCGTATGTTCAATGTTTTTACAGTTTTGAGATCCTTACAGTACAATCTCTTCAAAAAAGTGACTAGCATGTTCTTAACTCAAATTTAATTTTTTGGCGCCAAAGTTGGAGCTTCATTTTCCCGCCAAAATGTAACAATATCGAAAAACAAAAAACATACGATTTTTAGGAATGTCAAGTTCCATCCTGTGAGGAAGTTTCGTGATATTCAGAACTAACGACAGAAAGTTAGTCGACCCTTGCCGAATTTCGTGTCTCTTACGGCCACCGTGACAGGACGAATTTGCGTGTAAACAGGCCAAAAAGGACGAATTTCAGACCGGTCCCAAATTCGTCCGGTACCGTGTAAACGGGGTCTAAGTTTATGTAAACTAACATCATTTATCAGATTTTTTAATGTATACTGTAGATATTCACACTTGATATGAAATTGCGGGGATTTATTAGTGAAAATATATAATACATGACTATATAGCACATCTCCTTCGCAACCATGTACAAGGTAGGGAAAAGTAATTACTTACCTAAAAATATCGCACCATTACATTGCACTTCCGAACGGGTACTCTTGAAAAATGTAACACACGTCATTATGTAGAAGTCCACTTTATCACTAAAGTCTTTTATCTGAAACAAACATACACATATTTTTATGTCATTTCAGGATAAGGTCTAAGGTGCCCTAGTCAGATGTTAATTTGAGGCAACATTCCCTGACGCAGGTGTTGAGAAATGCCAGAACGAATTTGGTTCAAACGAAGTGGGCTAAGCATCTTAAAATATAGGCGCGTCATTGAGTCTAAAAATATCACAGAAAAGTAAGTTCTGAATTTAATTAATAACCATAGTCGATGACTTATATGGTCAACATAAATCATTGTTATATATCGTCAGACAACAAGCGACCGACCCTCCCCGACCAGCATTGTGTAAACCAGGTAGTGTTTCTTTTCCAACAAACTAAAAATGGCTTGCCCACGAAATCTAAGAGCTTTAATCATATTTTGTTAATGGATGGCACATTTGTCGGGTTTTTAATTACTGTACAAAATTTCAGACGATTTGCTTTGGTTTAAGCCCTTTAACTATTCATTTTCCCCTTAAAAATCAGCCTTTCGAATGCTTAATTAATGCCTTTACCTAATTTGCATATTGCTGACATATGCAAATTAGGCATACGCTTATATTAAGCGTGCAAAAGGCTGATTTTTTAGGGGAAAATGTAAGTTTGCGTGAATAATTTTAAAGGGCTTAAACAAAAGGAAATTGTCTGAAATTTCGTGCAGCAATTAAACACCCATTTTTCAAAACACATTTTCACCATTAACTCAAAATGAAGTCGGCTATTTTGCGAGCTGCGAGTCTCTATAGCCAAGCTTTAAATGAGATATTGAAAGTATATTAATGTGGACGACATGGAAGGCGAAGTTTTTTTATTTCATAAATATTAATGACCTTTGAAGTTAAGTTCCCTGTAATTAAATTCGTTTCAACATAATTAAAAGCACAGTTCAGCCTTTTGAATGATGTTTTTTAAGGCGCATTCAGTCAGCCCTTTTAATTGAAAAGACTAACCAGGAAAATCAACTATGCATAATTCAAGATCAGTAAACTCAATGCTTTTAACAATAAAAATGTTTTAAAATGTTGAAAACATTGAGTTTGCTAATCTTGAGTTATGCTTAATTGGTTTTCCTAGTTAGTTTTTTCAATTAAAAGGGCGACTGAAATGCGCCTTAAAAACCATCATTCAAATGGCTGAAGTGTGCCTTTAAGGCCGTTTTCCGTGCACTTCAGTCGCATCGTAGTGATCGTACCGAAGCGTAGCGTATTTCTTATTTTGTTAGATCCATAGGCATGCATGTTCATGAATTTATAATAATTATATTGAAAATCAAAGTATAAGACTATATTTGCCATTTCTGCATTGTTTAAATCAAGTAGTTATCGAGAGCATTTTGTGCTTTCTATTCTTAAAATGGTTAGCTATTTAATTTTATTACTAAGTATGACAAGACACCGACTCAGTTTGTTTATATACGGTATACTGAACTCTCGGGACCCTACATTCAAGTCCTTTTTTAAATGCATAGAATGAAAAAGGAGAGAAGAGATAAATAAGCCAAATTTTCTTTCAAAAACTGAAAATTGGCGCCAAATTGAGACAAGCTAAAATCCCATCCGCCAGGATGCCATACAGTTCTTAATTTGATTTTTTAGTGTAAACCCAGAGGAGGAGTGAGGACAATACCGGCATGCAACGCGGTCGGGCTCGGTTTTCACATATTATCGATTTCTCGCATTGTTCGGTCGGCTTACGCCTCGAGGTTTCAAGAGATTCAGAAAAGATTTATAGAAAAAAATTGTAAAATAGTGAATTTTTGCACTAGCATGGAAAGGAAGCTTCGTTTTTGGGTGGACACGAGCTTCTGTGTGTTCCGAGGTGTGTTCACTTTGTGTCAAAACAGCCTTTACAGCGAATTTCGACTGCCAAAACAGCGAATTTCGACTGTTACGTTTGTAAAACGTGTGCGAAAGCCCAGGCGAAAGCCTAGTATGTTTTTGTTTGGTACTTCGTATGTACAGGAATCTATAATATAAACCTTAATACGAGATAAAATCAGCTTGCCATTTCAAAATTGACATGAAATAACAATGTTTAAAAGCTGTATTTACAGTAGATATATTTTCCAATTTTTTGTCATATTTTCGTACACTAATGAGAAATGTCTCTCTGACCCTGTTTTTGACTCAGCTTTTATACCTTGCTATACTAGCCCAAAACATTAAAACATAGTCATACATACTAAATAAATACATGGCTATGAGGATTGTTGTCTGCACATATTAAAGATGTGGTACAGTCCGATCTGCGCATGCAAACTCAGGAGCCCTCTTTTTATTTTACATAGTTACAAACAGTTTATTTGTGTTTATATTTTATTTTATGTTCTTACAAAGCTTGATTGTTGCGTCTAGGAATGTTCGGTATGAGAAATTTCCGGTATCGGTATACCGAAAAAATTATCCAGATATTATCAGTATACCGGTTTTCCTTTGATAATTATAAAGGAAAATTCTTTAATGGGAATTTGAAGGAAATTTTGAGTAATTCTAAAAAGGAAAACGATAATTTTGAAGCTATTTCGAAATCTAAATCATTTCAGTAGAAAGTTCTTTGAATTGCCATTCAGTAGTAAAATAAAGGTTATGGTTTTGCCATATAGTTGGTAAAAGTAATACGGTATACCGAAAAATTCCGGTATATCGGAAATTTCTATATATCGGTATATGGCGGAATATCCGGTATCGATATACCGTTATTGGTTTAATACCGATATTTTCGGTACATCGGTATACCAAACAGTCCTTGATAATTTATTATACTCTAGAATCATGAAAATATAAGTTGCCAAATAAAATTCTATATTTTGAATACCAAAATGTAAAACAAAGTCTTTGTTTACGTACAGATTGTACCGCATCTTTAAAATGTAATAATATGTCAAGTTGTCAACCAACTTTTGTAAGGTATGGTGGTCTGTCAAAATATACCTCCGAGATATGTCCATTGTTAGCACAGTATGATATTCATGTGTCACTATATTTCAGGGTATACTATATTTTTTGAGAACGCTCACTATTTCTTTATTATTATATAGTTTTGCAGTTCTGACTGAGTATAACATGACGAGCCGCACGGGTTTAAACAGGATTAACTTTTAGGTGTTGCTTAACGCAGCATTAATAGGAAAAGTGTGAAAGGTGTTGACATTTGTTTCCAATTAATAGCCTGGATTATTTTCCTTTGCATGTAATTTAATGCCAAGTAATGAGATGTAGTTTAATCATTGAAAAATATTAAATAATCTAGTTTATGAAGCGACTTGTCAAGTTGTCATCACCAATTACTGCATGTTAGAACTTCAGAATATAAGTTTACAAAATTTTGGGCGCCAAATTCAATTGCGCCAAATCATCTGAAGCGAACAGCATGTCAAGCAATCATGGCGTACAAACGCGTTTACTCAGACAAGCTTCATACTCTAAAAAACTGGTATGCCTACTGGTATGCCTTTATCTGTCGTAACGAAAGACGCTCTATATAAAGGCTATAAGCCATGGCCCAACGTGTTGGTTGACAAAAATATCAGCGAATTTGGTAAGACACTTTTTACTAATTTACATTTATTTTACAATAGTCATACACATATATTGCTATTTTTATGCTTATTGACTCTGTAATCCAAATCGGTTTCTGTATTCTATCCTTCTTACACATGTGCCAACCTCAACTCCATGCTGACGAGTCCATGAGACCATGAAGGACGAAACGCCGCGTATAGGGATATTGAATTTTACAAACATGACTATCTCTTTCTCTCGCTCTATATATTTTACATGCCTCCAGTACAAGCTTTTTAGTACAGCGCGATCATACTCTAGCTCTGGGTCTGATCAAATATATATTTTACACCACAGGATATATTTTACCTTTACAATTTTACACATGCATGCATCTCCAGTTTTGTGTTTCATAAATCTACACCTGTAGGCTACTTATATTTCTTAGGTTCACATTTATACAAATACAAGTCGTTTTTTTATCTTTTATCCTCAGTTTCATCAAATACAACATAATTTTCACAGGCATACATTGTGCCAACAACACGTACGAGGCCATCACACTATCATATTTCACACGGCACTTTTTGATCTAACGTTTAGGGATTATTGAGGCATAAAATTATTACTAGGACACCAATATGGTTCTCATTATATCTAAACTTAAAAAACAGGTTATGAAGATGTTCCATCTTTTCTTAAGCAGTGAAAGCTATAAATAGGAGTCTGTATTTTTCTCTGCATGCAGTACATATCCTACTATAAATCACGGCGCAACGCAAAATATAGCCTTTGCCTCAGCAGGAATACCAGCAGGTCCTTTTAGTGGAAACTCCTGTGCCAGAAAGATGTGCCATCTTTTGCTGGCAGGTTATGAAGATGCTCTATCTTTTCTTAACCAGTGGGAGCTGAATAGGAGTCTGTGTTATTCCTTGTATACGGTACATATTATATACTATAAAACATGGCGCAACGCAAAATATATAGCCTTTGCCTCTGCCGGAATAATTAAGAGTCCTCAGTTTAGTGGAAACTCCTGTGCCAGAAAGATGTGCCATCTTTTGCTGGCAGGTTATGAAGATGCTCCATCTTTTCTTAACCAGTGGAAGCTAAATAGGAGTCTGTGTTATTCCTTGTATACAGTACAGTACATAGTATACTATAAAACACGGCGCAACGCAAAATATAGCCTAGTTGGCTTTGCCTTTGCCGGAATAATTAAGAGTCCTTTTAGTGGAAACTCCTGTGCCAGAAAGATGTGCCATCTTTTGCTGGCAGGTTATGAAGATGCTCCATCTTTTCTTAACCAGTCGAAGCTAAATAGGAGTCTGTGTTAACCAGTGGAGGCTATTGAGAGTCTGTATTACAATTATCCCTTGAAAATTATGGAGCAAAATACGTAACGCAAATATATAGCCTTTCAAAATAAATTTTCTTGTATAATTATATAATCTATTTTTCGCTCC